TTGTTAGCCTTCACTAAACGCGGATTTCTATAAGCTAACTATATTTTAGTATTGTTAATGATTATTTCAGTCAAGCGGCCATTGATTTCCTGCTTGGAAATGTAAGCTACCTTGTTTTTGAGGACTTTGAAGCAAATATGATGAGTGGCGATCCTGGCATTTCTATGCAAAAGATGAGACAACAGGCTATCGATGTATCTCAGAAACTCGTCGTTGCGGATGATGGTGAAGAATTTATTGGAGGATGGACATTTCTCACCCCACAAGTACCAAACACTATCAAATCTAGACCTTTTGAGGAATCTGTACTCTTATTGACAGATGCGGCCTTGTATATGTGCCATTTTGACTGGAATATCGAGAAAGTATCATCATTCGTGAGAGTAGGCTTGAATCAAGTGGTCGGCCTTAAGTTTGGAACATATATCACGAGCACACTGTCACAGGCTCAGGCAGACGAGCAGAGGAATGTCGGCATTGTAGTCACATATAGGGCGGGTTCAAATGACATAATTCGTGTGAACACGAGATCTATGGCTACTGAATTTCCCTCCTCAAAATTGTCTTTAGAAGACAAATTATCGACAACAGTGTCTGCATCTAGCACGAACTCTGTTGTTGCTCCAATCGCTGCCGGTTTCGCAAATTTGATTTCAGGTCTACAGAATCAAACCACGCCGGAACCTAAAGATACCATGAAGGTTCTTGCATTCAAGGCTCTCCCCTCCAGATCAGCGGTATCAGATGAAGGAGTAAGCGAGTTCGAGCAAGTGAAGAGTGTTTGTTCAGAGATTAGAAGAATGGTTGAGGCTGCAACTATAAGGGAGGCTGGGGTGGAGAGACAAAACATCGTAGAGGAGGGTATTATCATTAGCTTGGCCGAGGCCAAGAAGAGCACGGGACTATTCGATATGCTAGGGCACCAAGTGAAGAAACTGGTGTGGGCTTAATAGTGGATATAGCAACACACGGGAATAATTTTTGGAGAAGGCAAAGGATACATTTTGAGGGACTTGGAATGGAATTTGGGACGTGGTAGGGTGCTTAGCAATATCCAGAACGGTTTATAGCATGAATATCCACGTTGAGGACTCGAACATCTTCACCTTAGCGTGGAAATAAATGTGTAAATAGACACTAGTATGTGGTATTGGCTAGACAAATACGGAATATATAATGAGGAATCTATAGAAGTCGTTAACGAAGATATTATATACATAAGAGTTTAATGTTACTTTAAGAAAAACTCGCTGTGACACAAGTTCCAAGAAAATCTACGTCTCATCAACAACATCTTTGCCCATGACACCAAGACACCAAGATACCAAGGTAGCTGCTTGATATAAAATTGGATCTGCAGCAATGATTTAACATGGAACTAATCAGAATGTGTATTAGCATACTAATTAGCACCGGGTCCAGAGCCCGATGAAGAAATGTTGAACCCCACCACGGCGGGAGCCTCCAGCACACATCAAAATCGAAATATTTCTTTCCTTCCCTCCGAATTTCTCACATCTCCACAGGTTTCTCACTCAAACCTCTAACCAAAGCAGCAATTGAGAAATCGATAGATCTCAGTTGCGACAGTATCGCCAGAAGACCATAAGAACTACTAGCACGCATTTCCATTGCTTCACAGGGATTATGGCACAAGCAGGGGATCAAAGTTTGGGTCCTCACGACCCCACTATAGCTACACATGAGCGGCGGCTTGATGGGAAAAGTTTGAATGCAAATGAATTTTATGCCGATGAGTCTGGGAGGACGTCTGATGAAGAGGATGTCAGTATTGAGAGGATTGAAAAGGTTTATAGGTAATGATGAATTCTGATCTTGACTATGGCAATTTTTGATATATATAATATTTACTTACATGAAACCATAGGAAAATTGATCGCCGCATTATTCCAGGTAATTCTCATTTTTATCATACTACAGGAAGCAAATTAACATGTATCCAGCATTTTGGGTCTTATATTTCCTCTGTTCCGCCATTCGATCTAATGTCGGTCTCGCTCAAACTATGAATGCATCATCTGGTCATGATCTCTCCCAAGTTTTACACTTGACGGCTAAGCAAACTTCCACGGCTTTGGCTTTATTCTATGTTGCCTATGTAGTTAATTGATTTACCTTCGAACTTGGTCATGACCAAACTGAGTCACGGAGTTTGGATGAGTAGAATCGTGCTCGTCTG